TGAAATGAGTGCAATGGTGTGATAGTTTGAACATTCTTTGGCATTGCCTTTCTTTGGAATTGGAATGTAAACTGACCTTTTCCAATCCTGTGGCCACTGTTGAGTTTTCCAAATTTGCTGGCAAATTGAGTGTAGCACTTTTACTGCATCGTCTTTTAAGATTTTGAATAGCTCAGCTGGAATACTGTCACCTCCACTAACTTTGTTGTTGCTCAGATTTCCTAAGGCCCATTTCACTTCATATTCTAGGATGTGTGGCTTGAGGTCAGTGACCACCCCATCGTGGTTATCAGGGACACTAAGCTCATTCTTGTATAGTTCTTCTGTGTAATTTTGCCACCTCTTCTTAATCTCTTCTGCCTCTGTTAGGTCCCTGCCATTTTGGTCCTTTATCGTGCCCATCTGAGTCCGCAAGGAGAAGGGCGGGATATAAATTTAAAAAATAAATAAATAAATAAATAAAATCTTTGCATGAAACATTCCCTTCATATCTCCAATTTTCTTGAAGAAATCTCTGGTTCTCCCTATTCTATTGTTTTCTTCTATTTCTTTGCACTGTTCATTTAAGAGGGCATTCTTATCTCTTCTAGCTATTCTCTGGAATTCTGCATTCAGTTGGGTGTATCTTTCTCTTTGTCCCTTGCCTTTCACTTCCCTTCTTTCCTCAGCTATTTGCAAAGCTTCCTCAGACAGCCATTTTGCTTTCTTGTATTTCTTTTTCTTTGGGATGGTTTTAGTTGCTACCTCTTGTACAATGTTGCAAACCTCCGTCCATAGTTCTTCAGGCACTCTCTGTCAGGTCTAATTCCTTAAATCTATTTGTCACCTCTACTGTATATTCATCAGGGATATGATTTAGTTTATACCTGGGTGGCCTAGTGTTTTTCCCTACTTTCTTCAATTTTAGCCTAAATTTTGCAACAAGAAGCTCATGATCTGAGCCACAGTCAGCTCCTGGTCTTGTTTTTACTGACTGTATAGAGCTTCTCCATCTTTGGCTGCAGAGCACATAGTCAATCTGATTTCTGTGTTGACTGTCTGGTGATGTCCATGTGTAGAGCCGTCTCTTGGGTTGTTGGAAAAGAGTGTTTGCTATGACCATCGTATTCTCTTGACAAAATTCTATCAGCCTGTGCCGTGCTTCATTTTGTACTCCAAGGCCAAGCTTGCCTGTTATTCCAGTTATCTTTTGGCTTCCTACTTTAGCATTCCAATCCCCCATGATGATAAGGACATCATTTTTTGTTGTTGATTCTATAAGGTGCTGTAGGGCAGGGCTTTTCAACCTTTTCACCCATTGTACCACTTTTAGGATATGGCAACATCCGAGTACCACCAGTCGCCTAGCAAGGTGTCAAAAACTTGATGACACCCCCCCCCAAAAAGGAAAAAACTGATGAAGTACAGGTAGTCCTCGACTTACAACAGTTCGCTTAGTGACTGTTCAAAGTTACAATGGCACTGAAAAAAGTGCCCCCCAAGCCACAGCTGAGCAAGACGCCTGCCTGCCCACCCGGCAGTGCTCTTCCTCCTGTCCGAGGTTTTCATTGTTGTGAGCATTTCTGTTGAGAATTGGCAGCAGAGGTGGGGTGGGGGTGTTTGGTTTTTATTCCCCCCGTCTGCTGGGTGGCTGCAGCAGGTTTTGGTCACTTCACATGACCCTGGGACCCTGTGACCGTCATAAATATGAATCAGTTGCCAAGCATCTGAATGTAAATCACAAGACCCTGGAGAGGCTGCAACATTCCAGCTGATCGGCGCTTCTTCTGGGCTCAGCAGAAGCACCAGGAGCAGCGCCGAGCTCCAGCTGGAGCCTGGCGCTGATCCTGATGCTTCCACTGAGCCCTGACAGTCCTGAAGAAGCGCTGATCCTGGCGCTTCCGCTGAGCCCTGACAGCCATGCAGCTCCAGCCATCTCTCGCTCAGGCTTGTGCAGTGCTGCCACCGGTTCAGCTCATTCCCCTCCCCCGCTACCACTTTTCTAGGATGGTCGCGTACCACCTGCCAGGTGCCAATGTACCACAGGTGGTACCCGTACCACTGGTTGAAAAGCCCTGCTGTAGGGCTTTATAGAACCAGTCAATTTCATCCTCTTCAGCACCAGTGGTTGGGGCATAGACTTGGACTACTGTGATATTGAATGGTTTGCCTTGGATTCGCACTGAGATCATTCTGTCATTTTGGGGATTGTATCCCAGTATTGCTTTTCCTACTCTTTTATTGACTATGAAGGCTACTCCATTTCTTCTGAGGGATTCTTGCCCGCAGTAGTATACCTGATGGTCCTCTGAATTAAATTCACCCATTCCTGTCCATTTTAGTTCACTGATTCCTAAGATGTCGATGTTCAGTCTTGTCATCTTTTGTTTGACCACGTCCAAATTGCCTTGATTCATGGATCTTACATTCCAGGTTCCTATGGAGAATAGATCTTTACAGCATCAAACTTTCCTTTTACCACCGGATGCATCCACAGCTGAGCGTCCTTTCGACTTTGGCCCAGTTGCTTCACTTTTTCTGGCGCTACTAGTACTAGCCCTCTGCTCTTCCCCAGTAGCATATTGGACACCTTCTGACCTGAGGGGCTCATCTTCCAGCGTCATATCTTTTTGCCTTTTGGTACTGTCCATGGGGTTTTCATGGCAAAGATACTGGAGTGGGTTGCCATTTCCTTCTCCAGTGGATCACCTTTTGTCAGAACTCTCTGCTATGACCTGTCCGTCTTGGGTGGCCCTGCATGGCATAGCTCATAGCTTCATTGAGTTATGCAAGCCCCTTCACCACGATAAGGCAGTAATCCATGATGGGGTAGCCCTATTTAGTGTACTTTAATTGGCCACAGCTTTCCAAGGTGTCAGACCAGCATCCTCTGCTCCCTTATTTAATGGAATTTGCTCAGAATTAGACCTAGAATCTTATGCATGAAAACTGTGCTTTCTTACTAAGGTACAGCCTGATCATAGGTGTCCTGGCTAGACATTCTGTTTGGGGATGAGGGAACATGTTTGTAATGACATGACATTAGGAAATATGCTTTATCGACTCTTTGGCATGCAGTGGGTGAATTTCATAGAATGGTAGACAAGGCTAAAGTGGGATTAAGTAGCTTGTGATTCAGCACAGGAATTCAACCATCGTCTTCCTATGTTGTATAAACTTGATTACTACATTAAGCCATAATATGATTTATTTATTTGATTGTAACATGTGGAACAAAACAGCAGTTTAATTTTTTAACCTGCAGCTAGGTTAAGTGTGCTGTGCTTCCTCAGTACTGTCCAGTGTGAGTTTGAGATTGTCTTTGTGGATGAGTTTTTAATTTGGTACATTGTACTGTACCTAAAAAGATACTCTGTTTTTTCTTTACAGCCATGCACACTCCGGCGCCCGCTGAGCTCTTCATCTCAGGGGCCCTCCCGGGCTCTGGCACTTTCCCTTCCTCATCAGCACTCTCTGCTTACCAGCATCCAGCCTCTTTCAGCGGGCGCAGCTTCCCAGTCACTTCATCCCTTACCCTCCAGGATGCTACTTTCAGCCCAACATCCAATGGCCTGCTATCTCCCCATGATCCTCTGCTTCACATCAAATCCTCTCAGCCCAGTGTTCCTTCATCCCTCAGCTTTGACCGGATGGGCAGTGCGGTATTGAGTACAGGCTTACCCTCTCAGAGCTCAGCATATCGTAGTGCTCAAGAATCGGCTTCCCGTCACCTCCCCTCCCAGTTCAACCTTTTGTCATCCTCACTGGGTCCATCTGACCAGACATCCCAGCTCTACAACACCTCAGTCTTCTCCAGTTCCCCTGCCTCCTCCATTGAGCGGGCCATCCCCCGGCAAGATAGTGTGATCAAACATTACCAGAGACCTTCCAGTGCCCAGCCACAGCTGTCTGCTGCCCATTCTCTCCAGCATTATTTGAGCTGCGGGGGCAGCTACCAGCAGATGCCCCACCGCTCCAGCCTTTCATGTAGTCCCTTGGGTGAGCAGTCTCCCGCCAGCAGTGAAGGCTCTCAGCAGCAGAAGACCCCACAGGCCACACGACAAGAGCCCTCTCAAAGCTACCATCCCATTATTCAATCTTCCAGCTATTCTGGTACCACCTCTTCAAAATCCAAGAGTTACTCTGCCTCCCGCCAACCACCTCGTTCTACAGCCACACCCAAGTGCCAAAGCAACTACAGTTCATCCACGCCCAAGCCCAGCTCTGTCATTGCAAGCCAGTCACAGGCCTATTCGCCTGGTCAGACTCAGAGTCTCCTTTCCATGAGCCAAACGCAGAGTTACTCTGTCAGCCAGCCACAAAATCTCTCTTCAGTTAGCCAGGCCTCACAGGGCTTCAGCAGCAACCAGGCCCAGGACCTCACAAGCGTTAGTAAAACTCAGAGTTATTCAACCAATGGGCAGGCTCAGCAGGGCCAAGCTGGGCAAGGAGGACAAGGACTGCAGACTTGTCAAAATCAGACTTACTCTCCTGAGCAGCTGCAAGGCTTGTCATCTGTTGGGTACAGTGTTCAGGCTGAGCCCCATGTTTCTGTCAGCCAGACACCGACCTATGTACCAGCTCATTCTCAAAGGATGCCCACAGCTAGCCCATCGTTGAGTTACAGCACTGGCCATTCTCCAGCTATGCCAGGGCACAGCCAGTCTATTGGTTACTCCCATGGGCAGAACCTTCCAGATTCAAGTCCTTCCCAGATCATCCGGCCTCTCCAGTCACCTACCACTAACAGGCCCCAGAGTGTGGCATCACCTGGCCAGTCCCAGAAGTATCTCACTTCTGTATTGTCCCCTTCATTCATGCAGACGGCTCACACACAAAGCTACCAGGGTTCCCAGGGTGGGTTAGAGAGAGGACCATCTTACAGTAAAGCCAAGGCTGACTCGGACCTCCTGTCATCTGAGCGGACTGAAGATGAAGAGTTTTTAATCCAGCACTTGCTGCAGTCACAGAGCCCACCAAGGGTGCCCACAGAAGGCATGGTAGAGTGTGAGGAGAGGGCAGGGAAAGGGATGGGCTATGAGTTGAGCAAGACTGAAGAGCGTTACCACTTGCAAAGTGTAATTCGGACCAACTCAAATCTGGACAACCAAGGCCTGGAGATGTCCTTGCAAAGCTTAAAGGACAAAAAGAAAGGAGAGAGGTCCAAAGAGTACCCCCATACACACTCAACTCCAGAGTCTTTGACCACCTCTGTGGTCCATTACAGCCATCAAGCTGGGTCTATAGACTCTTATGGACAAGACATAAAGAAGTCGGTGGAGCAGCACCTCCAGGGTGGCCACATGGATTCTGGCAGTAAGGAAATATCTCAGGCCCATTCTTATTTGCAGAAGACTCCTGAGCATGCCTCCCAGCCACATCCCATGGAGTCCCATGGATTGATGGCTGGCCAGCAGGGTGCTACCCTGATGTTGGACTCCCCTCCTGATTTGCCGCCTCTTTCCCTTTCCCAGCAACAGCAGCAGTCCCAGCTGCTCCAGTCGGTGCTCACTCACACCCAAAGCCAGATGCACTCTCGTGGGAAGGTTCACACCCCACTGGAAGTCCATCTTATGGAGCCTCAGCATATGCATCAGGCTGAAGCACCCTCACCGCAGCTTCAGATGCAAGCATTGGAAGCCCACCTCCACCAGGCCCATGTTCATTCTCAGAGCATGGAAGCACAGCTTCTTGAGCCACAGCAGTCCCCTCAGCTCCAAGGCCAGCTGCAGCCAGAAAGGATACAGTCTGAGGGCATGGACGTGGTGCCCCAAGGCAACCTTTCCCAGTCCCAAGAGATCCAGGACTTCTTAGAGCCCGAGCTGAGTTTGGAATCCCACCTGGGACAGAGTGGGACAGTGCAGAGTCAACAGCATCTCCTTCCCGATTCCAGTTTGGATCCCGACTCCTCTCAGCAAGTTCCTCAAGGCCAACTTCAAGGCAAGGACCAGTTTGAGAGCCCCAGCCCTCAAGAAGCCAAGCAACGGTTTGTTCCCCTCACCTCCATCTGCTTCCCAGACTCTTTGTTACAAGATGAAGACCGTAGCTTCTTCCCTGGCATGGAGGACATGTTTGGCCCCCCTCCCTGTGCAGGGGATGAGTTTCCTAAGCCAGATGATGGCACACAGGGTATGGAGAGGGGTGAAGGAATGAAAGGAGGAGGCTATGATATAATGCCTGGTGGACAAGGCTACCAGAGTTACTGCCAATCAGAAAGTGGGGATGGACAGCACTTGGGGTTAGAGACAGTGTCAGTGAAACACGAGTTGCCTTCTACAGTCAACACAGAACAACTGGGACTGATTCAGCAAACTGGGACAGCTCCGGTTTCAGAATCCAAGTCAGGCCTGACCTCACCAATCTTCTGCTCTTCCAAGCCCAAGAAGCTGCTGAAGACTTCCTCCTTCCATTTGCTGAAAAAACGGGAACCACCTTTCCAACCTCCCAAAAAGAACTATGCCCAGGAGTATGAATTTGAAGATGATGAGGACAAGGAGGATGTTCCAGCTGACATCCGCCTTAATAGCCGCCGCCTGCCTGATCTGCTACCTGACCTCATTTCCAGCTGCCGGACAAACCGGACCAGCCTTAGCCCTATGGGCGACATAGACTTTTGTGCACCAAACAGCCTCATGGAGGGGCCCAAGCGGCGAGGCCGCAAGCCCACCAAGCCTAAGCGGGAGGGCCCACCCCGCCCTCGTGGGAGGCCCCGCATCCGGCCCCTGACTGAACCACCCCATGGTGTGGCTCATGATGGTACCAAGAAGCCCCGCGGCCGGGGAAGAGGGAGGGGCAAGAAAGCCAGGGAGGAGGGGGTTGAGCCAGGTGCAGACTTGGAATCCCTCAAACCACTCAAGGTAAGCTGAGAATGAAAGGAGGTGAGATGTGCTTGTTAGGTAGCAGTGCCTAGGTGTAAGAAAGGAAATTTTAGGAAAGAGCGTAGGGTAGAATGAGTAGAAATAGAAGACTGGCTTAGTAAAGTGATTTAAATGGAGAGTGCTGCAATGGAGGGGGAACATAGGAAGCTCTCTTACAGCAGATGACCTGTATCCATCTAAACCACTGTTGCACTCTCTGAACAACTCTGTATTGATGAGTCTCAAATATGAGTCTCTTCCATTACTTGTACCTGAGCCTTTGTCCCTAGAGTTAATAGGGATTTAATCTAAGCTTTTGTTTGCAAAGGTTGTGCTCTGCTGCTGAACTATAGCCTCTACCTGTAAAAAAGAGTAGATATTTTACGCTTCTGAGGTTATCTGTGATGATGTACCAGTGAAGTTGGAGGGTAATTTGTACATGACCATAGTGGTATAATAATGACTCAGGTCTTTGTTTCCCTAGGAACTGGATTAGTACAGATAGTTTTCATAGAGCTATTATACGGATATTTGTACAGGTAGTCCTCACTTAGCGACCAGTTGCTTAGTGACCATTCCATTCAAAGTTACAATGGTCCTTCCCCCCAAAAGCTACTTATGACCTGATTCTGGAGTTCCGATGGCTACACAGACACAAACACACCGCAGTCACATGACCACAATTTACAATGTTTTTTGCCAGTTTCTGGCCTTGGCTGGTTTCCAACAAAAAACACCTATAGGAATACATGGATTCATTTAATGACTGTGGCGTTCACTTAATGACCGCCACAACAAAAGTAATAAAATTGGGTCTGGTCACGTAGGTGCCTTGACTTACAACGATCGTGACTTATGATGGAAATTCTGGACTTTGTTACCTTTGTAAGTCGAAGAGTACCTGTATTTCTAATACCATTGGCACAAAAGCTGGCTTTTGAATAAGGGAGGCAAGAGTCATGTCAGAATTCAGGTTCAGTGCTTAAGTTGAGAGTAATATCCAGGGTTATAGTCATTTTGCTGATACAGGTTTGCACTGCTAAAAATTCATTTCTTTGTTCAGTATTTGGGTTCATTTATTTCCATCCTGCTCTTTATTGTTGCAAAGATACGTTGGCATGAGTTAAGGATATTGGCATCATGAACAAGACTGCCACAATCTCACAAGAATTGGGGCTTTTTAATGGGGACTAAGCATACGTTTTGCCAACTTCCAACAGCTTTCCCTAATGTTGGGAGCAGCAATGCTTCAGAAAGCACCAGGCAGAGCGATAGATCAGTGCCATGGAATAACACTGTATTGAGTGTATTAAACACAGTTATAATGGCAATCTTAGAACACCCACTAGAGGCTTGCTGTGATTCATTGGGTTGGGGAGACAAGATAGATGCCAGCAGTAGATTGTGTGAGGGTGGAATGGGACAACTTAGTGCGGCCAACTTGCCACGGCCAACTCGCCACGGGACAATTTAACAATTCAAGTATTTAAAATAATTTTAAAAACATTTTAATTTTTGTCAAGTCACATTTCATTTTGTCCCTCCTTTTGCATCCATTCTTTAATGATTCTGTTCCACCATTTATCTGATATTAGTGTAACTCTTGTCCTGCAGTGAGTTGTCCTGTGGCGAGTTGGCCATAGCAAGTTGTCCTGCAGCAAGTTGGCCACGCTGAGTTGTCCTAGGCACCAGGATTCCAGTAGGTAGGCTAGGATTTTATGTGTTCACAACCATCTGGGCTGTTTGAATCTTGCCACAATTTCCTGGTTTGTGCCTTTTCTTCCTACCATCATATTGCTGTTACTCCTTGAGCGATATGATGAAAATTTGCTAATAGTATGCAAATTTGGAGATATCTAAGGCAAACAAATTAGTAGCTTATTTTGATTACTGAATGTCTGAGTTCCCTAGCTGCACTTTAATGCAAAAAAGAATTGTATGTGAGGTGCCTTTCACTTCTTTGTAAAATTATAATTGTACTGGGGTTCATGTTTTGTTTATTAAAACATTTATCTCCTGCTTTTCCATGAACCACTCATAAAGCAGCTTACAATATTGGAAATAATCAAAAGCAAAACCAACCACAGTATCTAATAAACAACTAATAGGAGAGGCAAGTCAGGTTTGGGGCCACTTACTGCAAATAGGGTATTGAAAAGGACATTCCATGCTCTGAATGCTATGGCAGAAAAGGCCCTGTCTCATGTATCCATCTGTCATGGTTCAGAAACAGCAGAGAGACAGTGGCTTGGTTGTTGAACTTCGAGTTGTGCACCAGTTGTGGCCTTTCCTAGATCAGGAGTCCCTGCTCTCAGTCATTCAGGCCCTAGTCATCTCACAGTTGGACTATTGTAATGTGCTCTACATGGGGCTACCCTTGAAGTATGGTCCAGGTAACAACACTGCTTCGCGAGCTGCATTGGCTGCCAGTCTGCTTCCAGGTGTAATTCAAGGTGTTGGTAATCACCTTTAAAGCCCTTAATGGCATGGGTCCAGGCTACTTGAGGGACTGTCTCATCCCACTGGGGTTGGCCTGTCCCACCTGTGCAGGCAGAAGAGGCATGCTGCGGGCCTCGTCAGCTCAATTATTCCGTCTAGCAGGGTCCAGGATAAAGGTCTTCTCTGCCATTGCACCTGCCCTCTGGAACATCTTGCCCCCCTCCTGACCTTTCGTAAGGGCCTAAAGACCTGGCTCTGCCAGTTTGCTTGGGGCCCCAATGGGGGAGCATCACAGTGGAGGTGGTTGATCGATATAACAACAGATCCTACCTCACCCCCACTCTGCCTCCACCCTCCCCATCTGTAATTGGATCATAACGTTTGCGGGTATTTATGTTTTTAATATAATCTTTTACAATTGTAAGCCACCCAGAGTTACCTTGTGGTAAGATGTCCAGCCAATAAATTTTAATTAGTTAGTTATGTGAGTAGGTACATATAGAATGAAGCAGTGCTAAAGGTAGCCTGGTCTCAGAGGGTTATTAGGACTGTTTTTCAAACTTTGCAACTTTTAAGATGTGTGGACTTGAACTCCCAGAATTCGTCAGTCAATATGCTGCCTGGGGAATCCTGGGAGCTGAAGTCTAGACATCTTAAAGTTGCAAAGTTTAAAAAACACTAATTTAGGACATGGGTGTTCAAACCTTTTAGACCAAAGGCTCGTTTTGGCCTTTGAACAGTGTGCTGGGAGCCTACTTCATAAAATGGATAGGACCCGAGCAAATGCTAAATTCATTTTAATTTAATTTACATTAAAAGTACCTACATTTGGTCAGCCACAGTAGACCTTGCATAAAAAGTTGAAGAAGTAGACTAGCTAGGGTCAGGATTTTGACAGAGACCCAGATGAGTTGGCTAACTATCGCCCGGTCTCCAACCTTCGCTTTGCGGCGAAGGTTGTTGAGAGTGTGGTTGCGCAGCAGTTCCCTCGTCACCTGGATGAAACAGATTATCTAGACCCATACCAGTCGGGCTTCAGGCCGGGACACAGCACGGAAACGGCATTGGTCACGTTGGTAAATGATCTCTGGAGGGCCC